AAACGCGGCTTGCGGACAGACAGACAAAATGTTTGAAATACGATTTTCGTTATCAGCAACGCAAATACATCATATTCCAAAAATCTGGATTTTTTTTTGATATTACAGACACTCCAATTTTTATTATATGTATAGAATACATCTGTAAGATATTTCTTAAATGTGTTTTTCAATTGTAACTTTATCTTTTAGTAACTATTCATGACGGTATCTTGTACAATGACATTGAATTTGCAAGGTTTTCTTTGCAAATTGTAATAAAGGATATACTACTTGCGGTCGTCTGGCGCAGTCGATATCTTACGACGTGATCGGAAATATGAAACTGATATAAAAATAAATACAGTCATATCTTTGTATTGCATGTCGAAGCGAAGATAGGGCGTTAGGGTAGACCGAGAAGGGCCGCCCAGGGCGCCCAGGGCGGCATTGCTACAGGTGTATATACGCTATGGTGCCTTTTCTCGTACATTTTTCTCGCCCGCGGTGCTACTTATGCTAAAAACGTCGCTAAAACGAGAAACTATCATTGTTATTCATTGTGAAACATTGAATGACTAACAATTGCACCAGTTGTACAGTCAATTTTTTGTCATTATGTTTTATGAAGTAAAATACTTCAATCGCTAGCAAAAATAAACTAAAGCAGTATTTAGTTGTTCACCGAACTACTCAATTTGTAGTATCTCATGTTTTAAAGAAAATGGCAGTTAAAATAGTTGTTATTTGAATGTTCACATTAAATATTGCAAGTAAGTCCGCCGGCCAACACTAGTCTGCTAGTTGCGTGTCCCCTTACGAGTGATGTCATGCCGGAGCCGGCGAGTCAAGGCCCCACTGGCAGTCTGCATTCGAACACAGCAATGAAAACCGTACGAAGCAAAATTAATAATTATCGTATAATTTTCATACACAAGTGCAGTATCCACGTGCCTACTTAAGTTTTGTTTAACTTTTTAATTGTAATATTTTTTTATTTGTTTTTTTATAAATAAACAAACATTCCGCGTAAAAGGAAGGTGAGTAACCGGCAAGTGAAATAGCGTTTATTAGGTGTACTCGTTACGTTTTAAAAAGCATTTACTGTTTTTATATGTGGTTTGATATAGTGTCTTTTTCCGTTATTTTTCACTTTACTTCAATTGTAACATAAAAGGATTTTGATAGTGTTTATTGCGTTCAGCATTTTTTAATATCATTTTTGTATGATAATAAAAGTAATTTATTTCATAATTTGACAATCTTATCAGTGTTATAGTGATGTAATCATTATGTGAAGCTGTCACGGTTGAAAACCTAAATAAAGTAAACTAAATTAGATGTTTATAAATCATGTATTTCACAATATAACCTTGAGTTTTCAACAGAAACTACCGTAGTACAAAAACATGAATTAAATTTGTATATATTTCGTTTCTGAGGCTATATTTTTCCTCGTAAATGTTGTACAATTGACTTATTAAAAAATATATACAAACTAGCTGTTCCTGTGCGGCTTCATCCGCATGAAATTATGAAAGATTTTATTGCTTACATTTGTCAAATTATCAACTGCAAATGTCAAAATGACATGACTATGATAAGCCATGGCAACCTTGCTATCTTGATGTTGGCAGCAATTATGGTCGCTTTCCCACATTAGGGTTTTTATCTAAAATATGTACCCCCTAAGTTTAATGGCGTGAAAATATATAGCCTCAAGCGTGACGTCAGGGTAGGGCTTTTTATTAAAGAAAGAATTATTCATAAATATGCTGTAATTGCTGACGTCTTAGGCAACAAAGAAGTGTGCGTTTACGCTTTATTATAAGAGTATAGAGTATAGATAGTATAGATTACGTTATCAGCCTTTTACCCCATAGAGAGTTGGAATAGTATGTACTATTACAAATGCCATCGTAGTATCTGAATTAATTTTTATGATCCATACTTTTTTTGAATTAATCTTACTATTATAAATGCGAAAGTTTAGATGGATATATAGATGTTAGAGTTTGTAGCCTAAACTGGTTAACGGATCTCGATGAAATTTGACAATGTAGAGCATTGTCTGGAAGAGCACAGAGACACCCTACTTTTTTTTCATTCCACGCGGACGGTAGCTAATTCAATAGTAATAAAATTTGGATAAAACCACTTGTATATTTTGTATTTAACTTCTGTAATTAATTGACCCATTAATTAAGTAGCAGAAATAAAATTTCATATGTCTATAACGATGAATACTTAACAATTGTTTGTTCGACAATGGTGTTACTGCTCGATTCCGCTGACGCGACTGTTCGAAAATTAATGTTACTAATCTTACTTCTTACTTAATATTGTAAATGTGAAAGTTTAGATGGATGGATGTATGGATGTTTGTTAGAGTT